TCTGCTGCTGTGCACTCCTGAATCTGTGCACTTCCTGCAGGTGACGAATGCGCTCCTCCCAGTTCTGATCGGTTGCGTGCCGAGGCGCTGAAGCTCCCGGCCCGCGTCCGCTGCGAGGGAACTGTTCGCCACAGTAGCCGCAGCTGTCTGCTTCGCCAGGCCGATTGGTGCTGTCGTGAAATGCGCGGTCGTAGCTGCTCAGAGCGGAACAGCTCCAGCTGTGACGCCGCACGTGAAGACTGTTCTGGTGCCGCTCCGCCTCGTTCTTGTTCTTGAAGCGGTTACCGCAGAATGAGCACTCGTATTGCTTCTCAGCTTCGTGTGCACTATCGTCCCCTGTGGTCAGCAAAAAGGCCCATCCCCACCGTAAGACTGCATGATCAAAGATGGACATACCCAAGCTCCGCCGCCGTGTCGAACTTTTTCGGCTTCTTTGGACAGCACTCGCACATGAAGAATCCTTGCATTTTGGCGCCAGCGGGCTTGCCAGCATCGCCCAGCTTGCGCGGCGACGCCAGCGGCCGACCGTCGCTCAGGTTTCGTTGGTGCTGGTGTTGGTTTGGGACTCGGGATATCGATCCCCTCGGAGACGGGTTCAGCGACATGGGCGTGCTGTACGGCGAACTACAACTATGATCAGTAGCAATGGGCGATAGACCGCCCGGCGAGAGGCCGCCCGGCGACAGATGGCCATGCGAGGTGAGGCTGGAGAACATGCTGTCGCCCGTGACCAGCGACAACCCCGAGTTGAAGGAACCCGTGCGTCCCGTGGATGAGACGGACGATACCGAGCCTTGAGGAATGGTGCTGAGGCGTGGGGTGGGCGAGCCTCGTGATGGCATGTCCCTGCGCCGCAGGAGGTCGCTCTGGCTCAGAGCACCACTCATCTTCGAGTCATCGCCGAGAGGTGAGGAAGCCCTTCGCTTGGTGCCGGACATCTGGAGTTCCATCGAGTCGAAGCGCATCGGATCTTCAATGCGGAGCCTCTTCAATGACGAGGTTTCCGAAATCTCCATGTCTTCAGCCTCATGGCTTCCTTGCGTCGACGCATCATCGCTGTTGATTCTGCGCGACCTGTGGGGGGGCGATCGCTCGGCATCCAGATGGCCTCCTGCAAGTCCATGAACCGGAAAGGGCTGGCTCCTTGGTGAGACTGCCGAGTACATTGGCGTTTGCGTGAAGCGGTCGGGCGAATCGAGCATGCTAGACTTGATGTGGAACGGCAAGTTGGACGTGTTCGGCAGTGACAGTGCCGGGAGCCTGCCCTCTGGTGGCGCTTGACGGGAGAAGGACTCGTGAACTGACGCGCTGAGTAGCGACCTTCCAGGTGGGGAGCGATTTCCCAGAGTCTTGATGGGATCAAGCTTCTTCTTCATGTCCATAAGAGCGTCGGCACCAGATTCCAACTGGAACTGGTTGTGAAGCTGGCCAAAGCCTGTGGCAAGGCTGGGAAGTGTGTGTTCCGCCGACCTGCGATTCTAGTCAGTATGTGTAGCTCAGTCAACAATAGAGGTGAAGACCGATGTCCTGTAACCAGATTGCCATACCTGATGGAACCTGCAGACGAAAGACTGGCATACCCTTCGTCCCTGTCACCCTTGGATCCTGCGCCGCTCTCCCGCCTCTTATGTCCCAGCCGATCACCTGTGAAGCTTCCAACAGCACTGTGTCCGTATTCTCGAGGGCTGTAGGATGAAGGCTCTCTATGGTAGGATCCTCGATGCTCGTCATGGTGCTCGCTGACGTCAGGCAGAAATCGAGGAGGAGGCAGCGGCGGAGGCGGCGCATCCATGAGATCTGAGGTGCCAGGGATAGACATGGCAACCGACGAGGAGTATATACCGCGAGGTCCGGACCGCTCATGGTTGTGATAGCGATCAGGGGGGGTCGAGTCTATAAAAATGGCAGGTGTAGGAAGCCCTGCGGGCTCCCTGTGCCGAGGGGGGGCTGTCATGTCGACTCGTGTTGTTGGGTCCAGAGATGGGCTCGACGGAGGTTGATGACAAGAGACAGGGCAGTCGTGGCTGAACTAGAGATCTAGGATGTGCAAGGCGGAGGCGACATGAGAGAACTCGGAGGCCTTTCGGTGTCGATACGAAGTAGTGGTCGGACTTGACTGCTGCTCAAGGATCTTGGTGGCGGGACTCGAGGTTCTTTCTACCGGTGTATGCTCTTTGCGCTCACTGGGCACGACGGGGAGAGTTGTTGCCTGTATAGCTGACGGTAGCGGTCACGAGCGTTCCAGAAAAAAGGGTTGACAGTCGTCGAGTCGTGGCTGCAGGCGGTTGCCTCGTGCGAGTCAAGTCGTGGTAGGTAGCGTGTGAGGGTCCGTCGTCAGCAGCGGCGAATCGTCCTGGGGCGGACCTCGTTGCTGTGTGTGGCTAATAGGCCAACAGCGATTCAGCTGATGAAGGGTGACAAGAGTACGAGGAGGCGAATTTGACGAGGACAGTCGGGCCAGGGTCGTCAGGGTCACCACCGATCTAGGAAACCTTGATTATCCCTCTTTGTGCTATGTTCGGGTGTGAGGGCGAACGGAGGGTTTTCGACGCCAAGGTGCTGGTGGATGAAGTCGAGTGAGGAAGACGGGGAGTCGTGCTTTCAAGGCGAGAAAAGGATGGGAAAGAAACAAATGATATGGGATGATGGCGTGGCTGGCCACTGGAACCAAGTGTACTGGAAATACCTGGGGCAAAGGAGGGAAGAGGGGGGGTAAGCCTTCTGAAGAATGCATTTGGCGACTGTCATTAGGAACCGAACGTACTACAGACACAGAACCTCGCTGCGGACGGGCCAGGGCAGGTGGACGGCACGGGTGGGCACAGGGATTGAACACCCTACCAACTGCCCTGCCCACATTTGCATGGTGCTGTAAGGTTGGGGAGTGGGGGGGCTTAGGGTAGGGGAGGGGGGGCAGGTATCTGCGCATGTACCCTGGTACTTCTTGCCCCGTAAGGTAGGGAGTGGGGTGGGGAGGGGTGGCAGGACTTGCCGGAGGGGTGTGGTTTGTGCACCTGCACACCCCTCCCTGCAATCAAGGTGTTTG